TTAAATAATATATATGCAAAATTTCATATACATATGCAAATGTATGTTTGTGTACAATGTGCAGTAAATGCTCACTTATTTGGATTTATATTCTAATTATTTATTATTTTAAGCCTATAACTTGAGGCAATTTGGGCACAAATACAAAATTTTATACAAATCTAATGGATACACATTAGTGCCTTAGGGTCAGTAGTATATATTATTTTCAAAACAAAACTTACCAAAGGGGATAATGCTTATCTTCACTTTTGCCAAATACAACTTCACGAAGATGTTCGTAAGTGACCATGCGGCCTCCGGAGTACACTGTGTAGAATGGATCATTTAAAAGGTGAATTCAGCTAGATGTTTAATAAAACAAGAGGGCATTTGACCTGGCCAGTTGATCTCTCTAGCTGGGTTGTTCTCTCATGCACACGTGGTCTTTTCTTGATGTTTCTGTAAAGGTGGCATGCTTTCTTAAGCCTCAGGCCTTCTCACATGCTGCCTGATTTTTCTTGAATGGATTCTTCCTCTCTGCTTTGCTAACTCCTCCTAGTCCTCCAAGACTCAATTCAAAGAACATGTTTTCTAAAGAGTGCTCCCTGACCTCCAGTGTTCTAGACTGCCACTGCACCTGCCAAGCTTCTCCTCTGTTCCCCCAGAACTACCCAGGCATACATTGAATATGACACTTATCACATTAACTAGAGATTAACTTGATTTTGTTGCTCATCTTTCCATCAGACCATGAGCTTTTCAGGGCAGGCTTTGTGTGTTTTCATTACTCTATGTGCCCTAATACAGAGCTTGGTACACAGCAGGCATTTTCATTTAATAAACATGCATAACTTCACTGGATAATTCATTATATTGGGGTAACTTTTTCAAAAAGTTTGTCAAAAGTATGAAATGAATCTTAACTGTAAAGCCGTATATGATGGTCAACAAAATACAAATGAAAAGAAGTGAAACTCAAAGCAAGCATGGGAAGCAAAGGAGAAAATATTAAAAAAAAGATTGGGAAATAAAAATCATTAAAATCAGTACATGGTATTCATAGAGAGCACTTTCCTTGATATTTCAGGAAGTCTGATAAAATATTTTAACATATTCAAAAATACACAAAGCACTAAAACAACAATAGTCTCTGTACACACTTCTGGAAAGCTCTTGATGAAGACACTCTAACTCACTCATCTGAAGAACTGAAGCTTTAAAAATCATAAGCTGGTAAGTGTTAGTACTGGACCCTTTTCTGGTCAAGGGTCCCTACGTACTTGCAGAAATATTATGAACGTAGAGGAGAAGAATGCCGCACCTGTCCTACCTCCATTTGAAGCCAAGTTTATGTTCTCCTGTCCACAAGCTGAAAACCCAACAACTATCTTTGTGAGTGCCACTGGAGAAGCAGAGCAGAAAAGTATTCTCACTGGCTGTGGCACAGTTACAATTATTTCCTTTTAAGAGTGACTAAAGGCCCACACAGGTAGGTAGGTAGCCTTGGGAACTGAGGCGAAAATCAGCTGCACTGCAATCACTCAATTGCCAGTATTGGATCAGTCATCCCTGTGCTCTTTCAGAGTTGCCTAGTCTGTAGTGTATGGGACAAAGACTAGTGATATTTGGCATTTTAGTCAAATATATTTTAGTTTTCAAAGAACATGAAAAATTTAAATTTTGTGTTTTAAAGTTTCTAAAGTGGAGGAAAATATCAATTGCTCATTTTTTTTCTTAAAAATCTTCGAACATTTAGAGAAGTAGAGAAAATAACTCCCTCTGTATCCTTGAGATGTATCAATTGCTAACATTTTTGCCATACTTGATTCATTTTTCTGCTTAATTATTTTGAAGTACATTACAGACATCATGACAGTTCATCCCTAAATGTTTTTATATGCATTTCTAAAAATGTAAGGCAATCATTCCTTAATAATTGGTGGTTAATTTTCTTAAGAGAATATTCATTTATCACTGTAGTAGAAAAAACTACTGGATTTGGGCACAGCTAAACACAAAACCAGAGGACACAAACACAGAACTCATAACAAACTTACCAGCTGGAATCAAGATAGATACCTATGTGTCTGTAAATGGCAGGTGTCACTCCTTGCCAAAGCTTTAGAAAGCCTTCTTCTTGAATAATCCCTAGGGCTGTGCGTACCATGCCCCTATAGGGAGCAGATTCTCTTGCACTGTCTCCCAACCGAGCAAGGGCAGCTTCTCCTTGCATTTGGAGTCGAGTTTTTGTGAGATCGAGGGGAAAGGTTGCTAATAAAAAAACAAAATGAGGGGGAAACCCATAACATTCAGAGAAACAAACAAAAATTCTAAAATTCTAAAGTCACAGGACTAATATTTTAGTCACCACAAGATCAGTGATTCTCAAATTTTAGAATACATCAGAATTAGTTAGAGAAATTGTTAAAAATTATTTCCTAGCCCCATGCCTATGGATTCTGAGTAGGTTGATGGGGATTTAGAAATCATTTGATTCTTATGCACTCCCAAATTTAAGAATCACTGTCCCAAAGCACCCCCACCCCCAGATCATCAGGAAAAAAAGTGACAAGACTTGGGTTCTTTTTACTCAGAAATTTCAGCCTAAAATCTACGTTAGTCCTTAATTTTTGCTTTCCAATGGGAATAATTTCAGATATCCATATTCTGTGATGCTCCTTTGACTGCACCCATGATTAAGACCCAATGTGACTTTTAGAATACTATACTAATTCTGATAGGTTCATAATAAGTGCAGGTGAAGCTGCATTCTGTAATTTCATGGGTGATATTCACTGATCTGAAGTTTGAGATACAGAAAATGTAATAAAAAGTTTATACAAGGGCAGCATGCTCAATATACTTTCAATTAAGGCATATATTGGGTTGTTTTTCCAGTACTGGGTTTTATGTGTGGCCTCCTCATGAGGACCAATTGTACTTGAAAAGTTTTTTTCTAACGATTACATTTTGAATTCAAGAATACATTTTACCTTGAAACAGTGAAGCTAACTGGCCCACATTAGGAAGATCAAGCTCATAACTTTATACTCATAATGTCCCGAATAACTGAAGTAATCAGATTCAGGTAAGTTCATGAACATTATTGACATTACATGAATCTTTTCAATGACCACCACCTGATAGAAAATCATAGTTATGCTTTTTTCCAAGAGAAATCAGAGTAGGGGGAAGAGAATATTAAATCTTACCACTGGTCTTTGGAAAAAATATCTTGCTGATAGTTCTCCTAAAACAGAAGTAGTTTGCATGTAGAGAATTTAAACAATGCCTTATTAACATACGAACCCTGAAAAAACTATATAGGTTCTTCTATATTAACATGGGTTATGCCTCTCAAAATAATTCTGGTTTCCTTACTGGTTACTTAAATAATGTTTCAGGTTCTGATCCTAAAGTGTTTTGTACTCAAAACCATCCCATATTTTGATTTCCTAACTTCCCATCCCCAGCCCCCACACCATTCTCCACAAACCTTTAACAAAAGGAATGTTTCTTTGCCATTGGTCACAGGGGGAAACATCAGGTTAAAAAAAAAAAGCTGGAAATATTTAATTCAGCAATCTGATTTTAAATTTTTTTTGAAAAAAGTTGAATTGCATTTCAGTAAAAACAGTGGATAACAGAAATTTTTCCCATCAGCTTTAAGAGAAGAGAAAGAGAAAAAATAGAGGGTCCAAAGGGCAAGAGTAGAAGAGCACAAAGGGCAAAACAATGGATCCTGTTCTGGCTGTGCTGGAAATACAAAATAAGTTAATTTTAGATGAGGACAAAGTAACATTTTCTAATGATAACACACCAAAACTGTTGCTTGTTTTGTTTTTCAACAGGCAAGAAAATGAAAGGGTAATCTTAAAATGCACAGTGAAGGCTTCACAGGGAACACACAGGCACTCTGCTCACAAAATTATTGGAAGGAACACCACCTGCTCATGCAAGGGCATCATAATTCTCCCTAGGTGGCCTCGAGTTTTCTCTGACTTGCTTATGCATAGGTAACTATCGGCCTCTATGTTCTTACGATATTTAATGCTTTCATTATAATCAGTAGCACACTGTAACTGTCTGTCACTGCATGTCTCCCCACCCGCCTGTAAGAAAGGTCAGGGCTGAGTCTTTTAAGCACTATCACCACAGTCTAATATTGTAGTAATTACAACAATGTTGCAATTAATAGGTGCCCCGCCTTGGATTTCACATTTATATATTATCTACTTCTCAGACTCCTGAAACGTAGACACAGTATAGATGAGATAAGCTCAAGGAGGACAACTGGCAGATGTTGAGAAGATGCTCAGTAAGTGACAGGTTAATAACTTAAGTCCTACGAGTCCACAAGAGATAATGACATGGTGAGGCTATGTAAGAATATAAACCAGAGAGATTATTTCAATAAGGATGAAGAGTGGACTGTGTTTTTAAAAGGTCATCCTCACAGATGGGAAAATGATTCCTATAGAGGAATGACAGCTCTTGCAGCTCCCAAGCGTAGACATTCAGACACAATAGCACACCTCTGAGGGAAACAAAATTGGAAGGAAAAGACCTTAGTGACCTCCAGTGCCGCCTCGTCGCAAAGCCAGCCTTGTCCCCGCCCTGCCACAACGGCCAGGCAGGTGTGCAAGAAGAGGGCGCAACCCAGCGGGCCGCACACCCCGGGGGGCCGAAGCCGCCCGCCGGTGCCCTCACCCCCCACCCCCAGCGCGGCACCTCGACGAGTCGCGGGGGAGGCCCAGGCGGGGGCGGCCGGGTACCTAGCTCGGCCACGGTAGCCGCGCAGCCTGACAGGAGGAACTTGCTCGCTCGGGGCCATCTCTGGGCAAGCGGCAAAAGCCTCTCCTCATCCTCTGGAACCGACATTCAGCAGCAAGACGGGACGACAATATACCCCTTCTGGCCGGCGCCCAGCGCCACGGCTGGCCTGCCACTCTGCCAGGGCCGCCCGTCCTCAACCGGCGAGTGGTGGAGCGGGGACCATTTCCCTCGCTCGGCTCAGCCAGCCGGCCTCGCGAACCCACAGCTTTCCTCGCAGCCCCGGGCTGGAGAGCTCCACAGAACTGATAGCTGAACAACAACGCGAAGCCCACGAGGCTTCTGGGAAATGTAGTCCCCCGGACTGCGCGCCTCTTGGGCGCCATTCTCTGATTGGCCGTGAGCGAGGCTTACTCGGCGCCGCCCGCCCCGGTCTCCATGGCAACAGAGCAAGTTCTCCCCCCGCCTTCCACCCCTCGGCACCCGCACCAGTTTGGTCCAGCCCCTGCGCTGGGTCCAGCGTGGCCGGGTCTGGTAAGACTAGTGGAGGTGGGAGGAGGGAGCGATGATGCAGAAGTCATCTAAAAATTGGGGCGGGGAAAGGAGGCTACAGTTAGGAAGGCAAACAAACTGCGGAAGTTGTAGCAGACAAGTTGGGAGGTCCGGTAGGTGCCCCCTCCCAACAGGGAATGAGCAAGTGCCACGGCGGCAGGACTTTTCCCTTTTCTGATTCTGGAAGGTGCTAGACAAAAACATGGAACTAATTTCCCCGACAGTGATTATAATCCTAGGTTGCGTTGCTCTTTTATTATTCCTTCAGTGGAAGAATTTGCGTGGACCCCCGTGCATAAGGGGCTGGATTCCTTGGATTGGAGCTGGATTTGAGTTTGGGAAAGCCCCTCTAGAATTTATAGAGAAAGCAAGAATCAAGGTATGTGGCCTTAGCAGGTGGGGTTTCCGGAGGAGGTAATGTTTTCTTTTTTATTTTCTTTTTTTGGATCTCAAATGCAACATTAAAACACAGGCAACATACCTGCTGTCCACAGACGATCATTCCTCAGCTATCAACAGCTAAACCTTATGCAAGTTTTTTCGAAAGAAATGGATTTTTATTGGTTATTAATAGATTTTTATCAGCTTGTAGCTTCCTTTTTGGAAGTAGGTATTAATTTATAAATGCTAGTTACTTCATCGTAGTTTAAAAGTCCTAAAGGTACACATATTAACTAAACACTTGGCAATAATTCGGAAAGACAAAAATGAAATACGGTTAATTTAAATTTATGAAAACGTGTAATAAATTAGTATCCTAACTGAATTTAACACCAGGCTGCTGTAAAAATTACTTGCAAACTTAGTCTTCACAAATTTAGCCCGCACTGTATTTTCAGCTGGTGTTATTATTTGATGATGATGAGATCCATTTTCACTGCATACTAAGGAGATTAGTAAGTTGTTGTAGTAGATGTTTTTGTCCTTAAAATAGCTTTCAAATATAGTGTATCTTTCAAAAATAGTATGTAAGTTACTGCCAACTTTTTTCCTTTATTTCAACGAATGCTTCAGTGTACATTCCTGTGTGTGTTGTGGGGTTGTGCTTTTGGCACTTATCCAATTGTTTCCTCAGAATAAATTCCTAAAAGTGGAATTGCCTAGTCCAATGACATGAACTTTTAAATTGTTCATGTTATTGTGTCACTCTTGCAAAAGAATGTAACAATATACAACTTTTCTTGATCTTTGAGTGTAGGGGATTGCCTAGTTCCTCATATTCTGGCCCACACTAGGTGCCATAATTATTAGGAGTTTGATATAGGAAAAATGTTATATTTTAAAGGAATATTTCTTTGTCTCCCATAGCCTTCCTTAGTCATGATTTTGATAAATTTTAAGGAACATTATTTACAAGCATGTCTCAGAAGGTCAAGCAAGGTCAAAAAGATTATTCTGTTTGCTTCTAAAAGGTTTGTAGTTTTCCATTTTACGTTTAGGTCTGTGATCCATTTTGAGGGTTTTTTTTTTTTTTTTTGGTTTGGGTTTTTTTGTATGGTAAAAGTAAGGGGTGAGGTTACTTTCTTCCCCATCTTGATGTCCAGTTGTTCCAATATCACATCCTGAAGGACTGTCTTTCCTTCATTGATCGCCTTTGCAGCTTTTCAAAAATTAATTGGCCATATATATGTAGATCTATTTCTAGCCTTTCTATCCTAGTCCATTGATTATATACCCACTCCTTTGTTAATACTACACTGTCTTAAATACTCTAGTTTTATAGTAAGTCTTTAAATCAGGCAGTGAAAGTTCTCCGTATTTCTCTGTAATTGACTTGCCATTCAAGATTATTTGCATTTTACTCTAAGTTTTAGAACTGGCTTGTCAATATCTATCATAAAGACTGCTAGAATTATGAATGTAAGTTAAATCTATCGAAAAATTGGGGGAGAATTGACTTCATAACCATAGTAAGTCTTCAAATCTATGACTGCTGTGTATCTCTCCATTTATTTAGCTATCTAATTTCTTTCAGAAGTGTTCTGTAGTTTTTGTGATGTGGTCTTGCCTGTGGTTGTTAACTATTTTATATTTTGAGGCTATTGTAAATAAGATTGCTTTTACTTTTGTTTTCCACTCGTATCCTGTTGAAACATAAAAAATACAACCTGTTTTCTGTATATTAACTTTATACCTTGTGACTTTATGCTAAATTCAGTTGATTACTTCTAGTAGTTACTTCGGAGATGCTTTAGGATTTTTATACATAAAACAATATGTCTTGTAAACAGATAAATTTACTTCCTTTTTTCTGATCTTGATGCTTTTTATTTCTTTTTTCTATATTGTAATCAGTAGGATTTCTAGTATATTGATGAATGGAAGTGGTGAGAGTAGACAAGCTTGTCTTTTTCCTACTATTAGGGGAAATTGTTCGGTATTTCACCATTAAGTGTGATATTAACTGTAGATTTTTCAAAGGTGCCTATTTCAGTCCTGACCTTCGGCCCACACATAGAATTCATAGATGCCACCAAAGAAATAAATAGTGACTTATTATCTGTTCATGTCCATCGTTTCCCAGCTGCCAGTGAAATCCTTATTTCACCTGATTCTACCTCATCGTACACAGAAACAGAAGCATCTGCATTTGTTTTAAAAGTTGCAAAGTATTCCCTGAATCACAGTTTACCTAAACAGTGACTTAATGATTGACATAGTTTGTTTCCCATATTTTGCAGTTATAAATATTGTAGGAACAAGTGTCATTTCTATGTGTGAAAATGTATCAATAGAATGAATTATCAGATTCAAAGTATAAATGCATTTATAATTTAGAGTGAAATAGGAAACGTTTTGAGTGTGTTGAGCAGAGGAATGATGGGCTCTGATTTAAATCTTAAAGGTTCACTTTGGCTGCTCAGTTAAAAACAGGAATGCAAGAACAAAAGAAAGAAGATAAGTTGAAGGTTATTGCAATAATCCAAACTTAAGATCATTGTGGTTTCGGAGACTGTGGTTTCAACCATGGTGATGGCAGTGGAAATTTGGGAAGTGGCTGGATATATTTTGAAGGTGGAAGCAGCAGGATTTACTGGCAAGTTGCATGTGGTGTGTAAAAGAATGAAAAGGGCCCAAGATGACTCCAAGAAGTTTGGCTTGAGTAGCTAGAAAATGAGATTTGCTGTCAAGTGAAACAGCCACAAATACAAGAACTTACTGGAAGGGAAGAAGTTATCAGAAGTTCCACTTTAGCTATGTTGGAGTTTGATAAAAAATAAAATAAAATAATTAAAATTTTAAAAATTAAAAAAAAGATATGGTGAGATATGTTGGAGTTTGGGATGTTGATATCCAAGTGGGAATACTGAGTTAAGCAGCTGGATAAATAAATTTGGAGCTTGCAAAAGATGTCCACTGATGCATAGTTTCAGTCTCTTCTACCAATCTTCTATAGCTGTCATTTCCCCTGAAATTCTTTTCACATATTTATTTCTATTTAATGTTTTTTTTTCACATTTCTATACTCTCTTTTCCTTAGATTCTTTATTTCCTGTGGGTTATAGTCTCCCTTGTGCTTCTCATCATTGTCATCTCTCTTTCTCTTTTTTAAGATTTTATTTATTCATTTATTTGAGAGAGAGAGAGAGAGCACGCATGAGTGGGGGTGGAGGAGAGTGAGAAGAAAAGAAAGAATCAGACTCACCACTGAGCATGGAGCCCAAAGCGATGCAGGACTCCATACAAGGACCCTGAGATCATGACCCGAGCCGAAACCCAATTGGACACTTAACCAACTGAGCCACCCAGGCACCCCAGTCATTGTTATCTTTTATTCAAAAATGTCTTTATTGTTTCTTTCTTTCCTGCGTTCCTTTATGTCCTAATTTTCCTCTTTTGTCTAGGTGCTTCTTCCATGGCTTCTTATATTTCTTCTTTGCTTATTTCCTTTGCAGTTGCAATTATTATATTAATTTTTTTATTCCAAAAATAATTTTATATTACAGTTTTTTTTTCTCCTTCTTTTATCCATGGACATCTTTTTGTATTACAGGTTTTAGGTACCCCATGGAGGAATGTTTTTGGTGAGTTACTTCATCTATAAGGAAGTTCTGCTCTCCTTTTTTTTTTTTTTTTTTTTTTTAGAATTTTTCTTATAGTACTGAATTTTTCCTTTTTTGTTTAACTGTATTTTAAGGAGTTGAGTTGTCTCGGACCAAGGAGGTTTTGCTTGGGGGCAGTTGCCTTCCAGGTTTCTTAACCTTTTATCCTCCCTTGCTACAGGGAAAATATAGTGTCTCTATGCACCCATGGCTCTGCTTTTAGGATATAATCTTGCAGATTTGAGCTCTCACTGCCTTTCTTCAATAGCTGCTGCTAGTAAAAGAGGCGACCAGTCTTCCCAGGTGTACTTTTCACTTTTAGAGGATAGTGCTTCCTGGAGCCCATTTTCTGTGTTATCTTTTGCTACCCCCCCTCAATATCCATGGCCTGTTTATCTTAGCCCATCTCATAGTGGTTCCAACTCTGTATATTTCCTTCTCATATCTCAGAGTGTATATTTCCGAGCTTTTCCCTTGTTGAGCCCCATGCACATCCCCTTTTTCTTTCCCACCATGCTGTGATATGTTCTAAGAGCAGAACTGAGGAGTTCTGTTGGAGTTTGGGATGTTGATATCCAAGTGGTATCCAAGTGGATGTTGATATCCAGGGGCAGACTGTTGTAGTTAGTAGATTTTCTTCTTATTGTCTAGCTCAATATGTTGCTTGTGCACCTATGTTTCATTCTCCTTGTGGCTCTGTGTGATTTCCAGGAAAGAAGTGGAACAATTCAGAAAGAAGTTGCCATAATGTCACTACCAAAATTGGAAGTCAATCTTCTTAAAAATTAGGTGTTTTTTGCTTTTTTTTCATATAGGTCCATATTCTAAAGTCATGAACATATATACAATGAAAGGTCTTCCTCTCATCTCTGTCCTCTAGCTGCCTATCTTCTCTTCCAACAAGAATATTCCCATTCTCTTGTATAACTTTCAGAGATATACTGTGAATGAAAAAAAAAATGAATTAGAAATGTTTGCTTCTGAAAAGATGGGGTAGTTGTACTTTCCCCATCCCTCCCACTAAGTGCAGCTAAATCATAATTGAACATTATACATAAAACAAACATAAGAAGATTCTCAAAGGTGGGGAGGGGAAGGCAGGCAGCTAGGGACCACAGGATCTGATGAACAATATGGCACTGAATTTCCTTGATTTTTTTCTGCTTCACATATCTAGATTGGACTCTAGAAAAGCCAGCAACCTGGAGATGCCTGTGGGTACAGATAAAAAAATAAGCCTCAAGACAAGCCTAATCTCTGTAGGTAAAGGGCCAGGAAAGGAGCAGCCTAGCAAGACAGAAAACTTTTAGACTGCAACTGCTCCAGGCAAACACCA